TTTACCAACCAGCGAGGTCGTTCTTATTCTCACAAAAACAACTCTTCTAATCGAGGACGAACCCACTCAAGTCAAGGTCGTCGACCACCTCACTGCCAAATATGCCGCAAAGAGGGCCATTATGCTGACCGCTGCAACCAACGGTATGTTCGACCTGATTCTTCTCATGCTCACCTTGCTGAAGCCTTTAACACGTCATGTTCTATTGCTGGACCCGATACTGCTGATTGGTTTCTGGACACTGGAGCTTCGGCCCATATGACTGCTGACCCATCTATTTTGGATCAGTCTAAAAATTACACGGGTAAGGACTCTGTGATTGTAGGAAACGGTGCATCCCTACCCATTACCCACACCGGTACTCTTTCTCCTGTTCCAAATATTCACTTGTTAGATGTCTTGGTTGTCCCTCACCTCACTAAAAATCTTCTTTCCATAAGTAAATTAACGTCTGATTTTCCTCTCTCCGTTACATTTACTAATAATCTTATTACTATCCAGAATCGTCAAACAGGAAGGGTGGTGGCAACCGGTAAAAGAGATGGAGGGCTATATGTGCTGGAGCGCAGCAACTCTGCTTTTATTTCAGCCCTTAGAAACAAATCTTTACATGCTTCATATGATTTATGGCATGCTCGTCTAGGTCATGTGAATCATTCTATTATTTCTTTTTTAAATAGAAAAGGTCATCTTTCTCTTACGTCTTTATTGCCTTCTCCATCATTATGTAATACCTGTCAGCTTGCGAAAAGTCATCGATTGCCTTATTCCCGCAATGAACGTAGGTCGTCTCATGTGTTAGATCTTATTCATTGTGATCTTTGGGGTCCTTCTCCCGTCAAATCAAATTCGGGTTTCCTTTATTATGTTATTTTTATTGATGATTATTCTCGATTCACTTGGTTTTACCCTTTAAAATTTAAATCTGATTTTTTTGATATTTTTCTTCAATTTCAAAAATTTGTGGAAAATCAATATTCTTCTCGTATCAAGGTATTTCAAAGCGATGGTGGTACCGAATTTACTAGTACTTGTTTCAAAACTCATTTACGTAATTCTGGCATCCACCATCAACTCTCTTGTCCATATACACCTGCTCAAAATGGTCGTGCCGAGAGAAAACATCGTCATGTGACTGAGACTGGCTTGGCCCTTCTCTTTCACTCTCATCTTTCTTCTCGTTTTTGGGTTGACGCCTTCAGCACTGCAGCTTATATTATCAACCGGTTGCCTACTCCACTTCTTGGAGGTAAGTCACCCTTTGAACTCCTTTATGGCTACACTCCACATTATGACAATTTTCATCCCTTTGGTTGTCGTGTTTATCCTTATTTGCATGATTATATGCCTAACAAGCTTTCTCCCCGCAGCATTCCTTGTATTTTTTTGGGTTATAGTCCTGCTCATAAAGGGTTTCGCTGTCTTGATCCGACCACCACTAAGCTATATATCACCTGTCATGCTCAATTTGATGAAACCCACTTTCCTGCTATCCCTAGCTCCCAGACCCAACCTCTTTCCTCTATTCCTATTTCAAATTTCTTAGAACCACATTTTCATCGTATTGATTCATCCCCCCCTACCACTTCATCACCACAAACTCCTCGATCCAGTTCATCCCCGTGTGATATTTGTTCTGACCTTGTAGATGAGTCTGTGCAGGTTGATACTTCTCTTGCAGGTTCCACTTTGCCACCCTCGACTTCTAATTCGACCTCTATTGAACCTCCTGTTGATTTCTCTTCCTTGGGCACTCATCCTATGATCACACGAGCCAAAGCTGGTATATTCAAGACTCGTCATCCAGCAAATCTTGGTATTTTGGGCTCATCTGGACTTCTTTCTGCTCTTCTTGCATCCACTGAGCCAAAAGGATTCAAATCTGCGGCTAAGAATCCTGCTTGGGTGGCTGCCATGGATGAAGAAATTCGAGCATTACAACAAAATGATACTTGGACTTTGGTTCCTCGCCCTGCCAACACCAACATCGTGGGCTCTAAATGGGTGTTTCGTATTAAATATTTGCCTGATGGATCTGTCGAGCGTTTCAAGGCTCGTCTTGTTGCCAAAGGTTATACTCAGGTTCCTGGTCTTGACTACACTGACACTTTCAGTCCGGTTGTCAAAGCTACCACTGTCCGTGTTGTACTTTCTATTGCAGTCACAAATAAATGGCATCTTCGACAACTTGATGTCAAGAATGCTTTTCTCAATGGAACTCTTATTGAACGTGTTCATATGGAACAACCTCCTGGGTATATTGATCCTCGATTTCCCACTCATGTTTGTCTATTAAAGAAAGCCCTCTATGGTTTAAAGCAAGCTCCTCGTGCTTGGTTTCAGCGTTTTAGCTCATTTCTTCTCACACTTGGGTTTTCTTGCAGTCGCGCTGACACGTCCCTTTTTGTCTTTCATCAGCAATCTAAAATTATCTATTTGCTTCTTTATGTTGATGACATTATTGTTACCGGCAACAACTCATCTCTTATTGACAGCTTCACTCGCAAGCTTCATTCTGAGTTTGCTACCAAAGATTTGGGTTCTCTCAGTTACTTTCTTGGTCTTGAAGCTTCACCCACTCCTGATGGTCTCTTTATTAGTCAGTTAAAATATGCTCGAGATATTCTTACTCGTGCTCAGTTGCTCGATAGCAAACCAGTTCACACTCCCATGGTTGTTTCTCAACACCTGACTGCTGATGGTTCTCCTTTCTCTGATCCTACTCTCTACAGATCTCTTGTTGGCGCCCTTCAGTACTTGACTATTACGCGTCCAGATATTGCCTATGCTGTCAATTCTGTCAGTCAATTCTTGCATGCCCCTACTGCAGATCACTTTCTTGCTGTCAAACGTATTCTTCGTTATGTCAAAGGAACACTCCACTTTGGTCTTACCTTTCGTCCATCCACTGTTCCTAGTACGCTAGTCGCTTATTCGGATGCTGACTGGGCTGGTTGTCCCGATACTCGTCGTTCTACATCCGGCTATTCTATTTATCTTGGTAACAATCTGGTTTCTTGGAGTGCCAAAAAGCAACCTACTGTCTCACGCTCCAGCTGTGAATCTGAGTATCGTGCTCTTGCCACAACCGCTGCTGAACTTCTTTGGGTTACGCATCTCTTGCATGACCTCAAGGTCCCTATTTCAAAGCAGCCCTTACTCTTATGTGACAACAAAAGTGCTATTTTTTTGAGCTCTAATCCCGTTTCTCACAAGCGGGCCAAACATGTTGAACTAGATTATCATTTCCTTCGAGAACTTGTTATCGCTGGCAAACTTCGCACACAATATGTACCCTCTCATCTCCAAGTTGCTGACATCTTCACAAAGAGTATTTCTCGACCTCTCTTTGAATTTTTCAGATCCAAGCTTTACGTTCGTTCAAATCCGACGCTCAGCTTGCGGGGGGGTGTTAAGGATAGTTGACCGTTCACTATAAGGCAAATATCTAGATATTTGCCTTACATTACGGGTTACCATATTTGCCCTCTTATTAAAGGCAAATATATTGCATTCATTTATTATTCTTTCCTTTTATTACTATTTCCATAATATTTGTAATTTACCATATTTCTGTATCCTGAAAATGATTATAAATAAGAGAACTCTCACCCCCATTTAGGTGTGGTGGATTCAGCAAACATTCACATTAGGAAACACACACACGAATCACCCTTAAAAGAAAAGACAGCCATCATCCGCAGATAGAAGACACGAAATGCTTGGACTTGGCAGAGTAATGAAGGGTCCCATAAGCGTGCACGTCAGACAGGAAGGTGGCATGGTAATGGGCATGATTTAGCAACGTAGAAACACCTTTTGCGCATATCAGAAAAAGACAGGGAGAGGGAAAGAGACACCTTCACCAATTCTTCCTGTCAGGCTGATATGTCCTTTAATTATCCATTAATGATTGACAGGAAAACAATTGTAATATCCCAATCACGTACTTAAGTATATTTACAAATCGGGCCATTTCATTTTTGAATCTATGCTCTTAAAGTTCTTTAATGTTGTTTGAAATAGTTGTCATTGTCAAAATAATAATTAGTCCAATTTTTGTTATTCCATGTAATTTAACAATTAAGTAAAGGATTTTTCTAATACTTATCTATTAGTAAGAAATGGACTTTATTCTTATCCTTAACAAATTTAGGATTAGCTCAAGGATAAATAAATTGAACTTATCTAAATATTTCTTTGTAATAAGTAAGAATTAATTTATGACTTGGATGTTAAAAAGAAATTAACTTTAAAAGGCTGGTTTTTTTTTTCTTTTAACATCCATTTTATGACGTATGAATCCCTTTAATTTTGTAGAATTTCATAAATGTATGTATTATTCATCGGATACTTATTTAATATATTCAATATCATTTCCAAAAAGCTTCGTATCAATGGAGACACTATTCTTTGATTATAAATCCATGATCATTCTCTAAATTAGACGATGTAGGACTTTTATCCACCAACGCCTCCCCTCGAACAAAGTACGCCTCCCCTTTATCTAACAGGAAATCGAACAAAGTACACCTCCCCTTAATAGCCTTTTTGCTTGCATCACATATAACACCAATTTCAATCTCTGAAATCTTGCTTTCAAAACTCTCCTTCGAAATCTCTCTACTCCCGTTTTCTAGAACTTTCGTCTTGAATCTGGGCCAGAGGTTTGAGCATACGTCGCTTGGCCGTAGGTGACTGTTGTTGGAAAGTGAGTGTTGCACAATTGCAAGTCTACTGCCATCAAAAGTGCAATTGTGACACTGTGCGGTGTCCCTCGAAACCACACTAATCTTTGTTGTGATGGTAAGTTTAATTTCAAGACATTAGATAAACTTTTTTAAACTATAATAAAGTTATACGAGATTGCGTTGTTTTATAATTTTAGAACATGTATAAAATAGCATTTCTAGTCGGGTCAAGTAAGTACCATTTCATTGTTTCACTCCAAACCACTTTTTTCTCAAATTCATTGTATAATATCAAAGATTAAATAAAGCTTTAACCACAAGAACAAAGGTATTGGTGTTATTATCCAACATCATTAAGACAACGAAGTGGTGCGGTAAAGGTAAAGCCATCTTACATTCATAGAAACAAATAAAAAAGTAGAGAATATAAATAAATAAAAAAAGAATTAAAAGGAAAATGTTGATTGAAATTATTTGTCTTGAGAGAAAAAGCGATTAATAGCTGGCATGATTTCAGGTGGCCGTGTCCGGAGGAACCGCCGGAGGCTGTGCTCTGCGTACTTCTCTCCTTCCTCTTCGTTCTCCAACACTCCCATTCTACGGTGCTCTTTATTCACCCTACCAATAATAATAAATTACATTCCTTTTAAAAAAAATCCATTTGTTTTGAGTAGCAAATGATAATAACTGGCCGTATTATTGTTTTAGACGGCTTCTACTCGTGGAGAGGTTTCCACACCCGAATAATAATAGAGAGTACCTGACGTCAGGATTGATCAAAATGTTTCTGGTAAGTTGAAACACGCACAAAGTGGTCACAAACCCCATGGCTGCCATTAGCGGATAAACCTTCCATATTCAAATCATATAATTAACCCATTTAGGGAAACATTTACATTGGAAGAGAACTTAGAAAAGAAAAAACAAGAATTATTATTGAAAGAAAAGAAAAATAGAAGTTTTGGGGGGGGGGCTGACCTCTGGTTTCACCCAACGCGCCATTGGAAGAAATGGTTGAAGAAATTTGGTGTGTGATTGGATGGTTTGTTAATGCATTATATATGCACAAAGAAAAGGCCCAAAAATAGGTTGTTGGTTTGTGCTTTGTTTGTTCGCGAATTCAGTGGGCTGTGTGCATTCATGAATACACCAAAACCAGCGGCTAATTCTCCTGTTTCATTGACCTTTCCTTCCTTTTCTATTCCTTTTTCACAACCTTCGTTTTCATGCTTATTTCTTTTTCTTTTTATTTCCCTCTCTCTTCCATTTGCATTTATCCCATTTTTATTTCTTTAAAATGTCTCTTATTTATTATTTATTTCATAGATTTTATTACGATCTAGTAAAATATCAATTCCATGTCGAGTTTACGAACATACAAAAATATGCTTGTTGGGATTAGAACAAATTTTTTTTACCTATTTTGATTTCTAAAAAAATATATTTGTTTGGTTTTTATTTTTGTTAGGTTCTAATTTATCTTATCTATTTGAATTTGACTAATTGACACCTTTGATCTTTTCAAATATATGAATTCATGGTATTTAATAATTTTCTAAATATGGACGTATTCAAAAGACATCATCATCATTTGATATTTGTATGTATCTCTATTTGTTGGGTAAAGAATAAGTCCTATAAGGAGTAAAAGAAGGGTTAAGGCCATACTTTTACCTTTTGTTTAATTTAGAATTTGAGTTTGATTTAACATTTCTTGTTTTTCTTGTTAGTTGAAGTATTAATTAAGACTTTGGAAGTTTGATCAAACAAATACATAAAATTAAGGAGAATAGTAGAAATTGGTAAAAAACCGTTACTTGAAAGATGAAAGTCATTTAAAAGATATATGCACGGCTCTCAAGCGATGTCTCTAGTATATGCGGAGTTTGACTAGTTCTTTTGCTTAGGTATCGGCTTGTTGAGAATCATATGTCATTTGATTTTGTAGTCCAAAGCATGGAGGTTAATTTACCTTAAGTGACATTTGTTGATTGTACGAGCTTTGTCCCTTCCATTAGAAGTTTGGATGGTTTCTCCACCTTAATTTTACGTGTTTGAGAATGGGTTATTCTTTTGGTTGCCTTCAGTATCTTGATTTTCCCACATAAAAAATTGAAATTGGATTACTTGGACATTGATGAAAAGTGTGTTACTCTCCACAATATACACAAGATCCAACTATTGATTGAGTCATTACAACTACAACTTCGACCGGTGCTTTAGTCGCAACGTTAGAGTCTGTAGAATATTAGCCAACGAAGTTATTGAGCATTGATAGAGGTCAAAGCATAACTTCAAGTACCCATTGGGTATTCTTTCCTAGATTGCTCTTCACATCCGCCTACTGACAATTGTTGGTTGCTATTTTTTCTAGGATCTCAAAGTTTCATTGTATTGTATGTCTTTGACAAGATAGCTTCATTGGTTGAAGCATCCACCACTTGTTTAGTAGAAATGTTTAGTCCACTGTAGAGAGTCTTCAATCTGATATAATGGAATAGTCCATGGTGAGGACATTTTCTAAGCATCTCCTTGAATCTCTCTCATGCTTCACTTAATGTTTTATCTTCAAACTATAGAAATGCAACAATTTTGTTTCTAAACCGTGCATTTCTAGTGTGTGGAAAATATTTGATAAAATTCTCTACTCAACTATTCCAAGAATCAATTGCTCCTAGTGCTAAGGTATTGAACCATGATTTAGCACCATCACTCAAAGAACGAGGGAACAAACTCAGTCTAATTACGTTTTTATCCACTTCTTAGAATTGAAATGAGTCATTAACTCCCAAAAATTACTTTAGAGATAGGTGGAGATCTTCTTATGGCAGTTCATGAAATTGGCCAATGGTTCACATGATTTGAAACATCACGGATTTTAGCTCAAAAGTTAAGCTTGCATTTAGAGACGGATAATGCACGGATCTAGCTCTTCCACAACTGGGTGTGCATATGCTTTCATTGTTAAATAAATAGCATTAGCAAAGATTTTCTCTAGATTAGCCATCACGGCTCCATTTTCAAACTCTAATTTGGTTGGGCTCAAAAGTCTCTTCGTATATTTTGTCCACATTCTCAACCTTTGCTCCTTCAACTTTCACCTAAAGGTTCTCTCTATTTCGGGGTCAAAAATAAATTTTAAATTTGTAGGTGGGTTCATATACCAAATTCTGCAGCAAAAAAAATCAACTTTCTATGACTCCTTTTCTACTCAACTCATAATAATCTACGAGTAAATAACTAAATTAGGTTTTCCATCAGCGACACCCAAAACTTGATTACTTATGAAGATATATAGTAAAATAGTGTGAAGATCATAAGAATAAGTGCAAGTATACACTGTCACAAGTAGGCAATAAGCAAATTATCGATTCCATAGAGAACCTATGATATGAAATCAACCCAAGGGAAAGTATGGAATGGATTACCTTGATGATCAATATCAAGAGTAAAGAAAACTCATTTCTAAACTCATGATTCGAATCACTCCACGGGAGATTTGATCAATACCACTTGAATGACTCTAGCATATAAGTTCTAAACACAAGATTTTGCAAAGAAAAACTTAGCTCTCAACAAACCTAAAATAAAAATTTTATTCTTTTTAATTCTAAAATGTGAGGTCTCTGATCAAAGAAATAAAAAAATAAAAAATAATAATAAAGTTTTTACAACCTTAACCTATGAGACACATAATTAACTCCCAAATTAAATTGGCTAACGAGAAATATGGTAACATATGTGGGTTACAATATAATAACTCCTATATTAAAAACCAGTCTAAATATGATAAACAAATATTTAAATTCAACTGAATTCATTAAATGCAACTTAAATTACATTTAATACATCTTTTTCTTGAAGTTCAACTTTGCCTAACATATAAGGGAGGTCTTCAAAAATTTCCTTTGATGAGCTCACCATACCTTGAATATAAGTGTACAAGGTTTGTTATAGCTTCTTGGCTCTCATCTTTGTAATTTGACCTTGAGGTATGGAAATTCCTTGGTCGTGGTTCATATCACTTTCGAATAAGAGAGTAACTATGTAGGTAAAGTTGCCAACTAAATAAATATGTAAATTAATAATAACAGCTCTGTAAGAAGCTAAAATCACACCATCATCATGCTTGAATTACATACAACTTTTTTGCCTCCCTATAAGATTTAGCTCTCGAGTAATTAATTTAAACAAAAATCAACATCTTAATCATATAAAATTAATACAATAAGTAAATAGAGGAAGTGATTAGAGAATTGTCAAACGTTGTTGCTGGCCTGAAGTTTTTCTCCTTGGAGCTCTCTTGTCCATCTCTTTGCCTTTGTATATTTTTCTTAGGCTATTTTTCCTTATGTTTTCATCAACGGTTGAATTGGGGTTCTTCTTTTCTTTTCATTTCTCGTTTCTACAGCAGCAGCACCCCGTGTTCTTCCTTTCCACTTATGTCTTTTAGTCTTTTCCATTTGTAGCTTCTTTTTTTTTTTGGGAACCTTTCCCCTTTTATATTGTTTCTTTTTTTCCATTTGTAGTTCGTCCACCTCGGTAGCTTTTAATTGGGTAGTCAACCATCCATGTGACTTGCTGATTTGGATTAAAATTTTTATGTCATCTTCAATAATTTTGAGGCTAGAATCGTCAGTAGAGTTGTTTTCAAATTTACTACATCATGATTCAATATAATTATTTTACCTTTTCATAAAATAATTCAATTCTATATATAGTTAGGTTTGATTTATGTAAATGGATCCTATTATTATGTTGACAAATTAACTATTTCATGGTTACTAATTAGAATCAATAGAGCAATTATTGAGAAATTAGGGAGTATAAATGCAAAATTATTCATAAAAGGGTGGGTATAACTCTAATTTTGGAGAGTTATTACGTGTCAAAGAAAGAGAGGCTACGTGTGTTGAGCGTCCAACTATAGAGCGCATCTGGGTATGAGATACATGTCAGCAAATGACAGAAGTATGCGATTGGCATTTTCGACTGCCACACGTTGCGACATTAAAGGAGGACCCAAGTCCACGACATACTCTGCCCCGACACGTGTCTGACCTTCTCCATCTCGACCCGGTTTAACTGCACTAGACCAAACCCCTCATCTGACCCAACTTGACAGAGTGCGACCTATCTAGATGCACCATGTGTTATGCAAAGGGCGTGAGTATCCACCCTAGAAAGTGTATGGAAATGGGCATAAAGACTCGTCTAAGGCGCATGTAAGCGCATGACCCAAGTGTGTAAGCCCACTTTTTATCCCATTCGACTTAACTATTTTTTGTTTTCATTTTGATAACAACCCTAACTTTACTTGAATTAGGATTTAGAGAGAAATTTTAGAAATTTTGGAGCTCCTAACATGTAGAAAAGCTAGCTTACAACGCTAAGCATCATCCATGTAAAGTAGCCACTCAGACCTTTTCAAACAATACAGGTAGGGATCGCTAGGATGTCCTAACATGTGAGCATTCCTTACCTTTGGTGGTTAGAATATGATGTATAGGACTTAAGAACGGTAATTTTGAATAAGAATGCATAGTATGTATGATATGAAAAATTATCGATATGCCCCTAAATTGAGATTTTGAGTTGCATGCTGAATTTTATGCTTTGTGCCAAGTTAGAAAGGGATTATGCATGGTAGAACTCAAATAGGGTTATTTGGTTGAGTAAGCTATGGATGATGTGGATAATTACCGAAATGTTCATAGGTCGAGATTTTGAGGATGATGTTGTTTTATGCGCTTTCCCCTGTGTTATATTCGAGGATGAATTATTATGATATGCACTATGGGTGATCGATGGATGTTATCTCTCTATTGAGCTTGTATGAAGACATGATATAGTTTGTCTAACTCTACATGGTTGATTGTTTTTTCTCCCTATAGAGCATGTTAATCTCTACAGAGATAAGACTAGGGTGCTAGAGTTAGGTTGGCTAGATGATATCCTAGGTCAGGATACCTCCAATAAATTAAGCACCTTAGGATCATGAGAGACGATTAGAGGTTCTAGACCCTAGTTCTCTCAGACTATGAAAGACTAAGGAGTTAGAACAAAATACCCTGAAAT